ATATATATATATATATATATATATATATATATATATATATATATATATATATATATATATATATATATATAAATTGACGGGGATGGTGCAGAAAAGAAATACATACAAGAAGTAGTATAAATAAGAAATGATATAGAATAATAAATAAGACGTATGATCAGTAACATGAATGACAAAAGTAGACACTTATAATTGTAAATTGTGTGATTTTTCAGAATTAAATTATAGCATTAAATTGTAGAATTAAATTATAAATATATACATTGGTTTAATAAAATATGAATTTATTAGATATTGAATTGTGTGATGAGTCTAAAGAATGATAACGTATAAATCTTTTTATATAATTTCTTATTTTATTATTTCTTTTATTTTTTCGTTCTCACATAAACTACTACATAGTGTTGTATAAGACGTTACTTGTTTGATAATGATTATTTTTATTAATTACATTCTTTTTTTTATTTTAGAAGAAATTTATAATTTTATTGTTAACGAGATAAATAAATTAATGAAGTAATTAACCACGGCATAAATTCAAAATCAATTGAATTGCTACGAGACCAATATATTTTTACAAAGCATCATGAAACAAATACATTTTTTTTCAAAATTTTAGTAATAATCTGATTTTTATAAAAAAAGTTTTAAAAAATATTAGGTGCTTAAATTAATTCGATGCTTTTATTTTAATCAATTATAACTCCACTTTAAATTCAAATATCTTTCTGTCGTTTAATGAGTTTTGAAATGTCAACCTTAAAGTTTAAAATGTTCTACATAGCTTGTCGGAGTTGACAGTATAACCTTATAAAACAGTATCGAACACGATGGCGTCTGACAAGTCGCATATCAAACACTACCCAGACAGCAAAATCTTTCAAAGATGTCCCAAACATATTCTGAAAACTTCTAAATGTCCGTATGTCCCAGGATATCCTAAAGGACTTCTAAATGTCCGCATAAGGATATTCCGAAGATTTTGTTGCTGTCTTGATATATTCTTTTTGTTTTTCAATTGAAAAAATGTAGCCGAAGTTGCAAACATGATATGTTTAGCTTTGGAGAAAGGTGCTATAACGCATAATACCTGTAAAAAGTAGTATCAAATGTAGTTTCGAAATGGTGATTTATATCTTAAATGCCGATAAAGAACGCTTAGCCGCAAAGGGACAAAGATTACTATTTATTCATTGAGCTAGAGGAAGTTCTTTCTCATACAGCTTCTTCACTGGATCTAGCCTTTACGGCTTACCATCTATTCCGATCACTCCAACTTGGCTGATACACACTTTAAAAGTGTGGGAGAGCTCTGAAAATACATCGACGATTTCATGAACTCAAAGCTGTCGTCTTTTTTTTGAAAAAAGATTCGTTAGCTACTCGATAGATAGAAAAAATATTATAAAATAATGACAAATATTTCAAACATTGAAATGTTTATTATTTTTTTATAAATAAAAATTCAATTTAAAAAAAAGCAGCGAATTAATTTGCGTACCTAATATTAATATTTGTAAATTAAAACGTATGACATGCTAATCTGTTCCGGCTAGGATATACTCGTATTGTCAAAAAAAAAAAAAACATTTTTATAGATAAACACGAAAAGTTTGATGCCATCAATTAAAAATAAAAAGATATTTTAACAGATTATTACTTAAATTGCTGCAATATATATTATATAAAATGATACTAAGTGTTTCTCATACATCATGTAATGTAAATTAAGTCAAACAAAAATCCTTTACCATTTTGCAAATAATTACACGGAAAAAAAAGATTTGCTAATATATGGGCAACTAAAAATATTAACTGCAGGAGCAAATTTTCTTGCTTTTATAGCAAAGTTATTTAGTTGTGATAGCTAAAAGATTCGCTAATATATATTAGCTATGAAAGCAAGGAAATTTGCTCCTGCAGTTAATATTTTTAGTTGTCCATATATTAGCAAATTTTTTTTTTCATGTACGTACATTTTTACTTATTAATTAAACAACATTGGTCCATATCGCGTGCAATCATCCGCTAATTTTCTTTAATTAATAATTACAAAATCTATGGTTATTTGTCAAATGTTATAGGACTTTTTCGTTCAGTTTAATCCAACCTACAAGCACACGATTAGGGTCGTTTTCACAACTACTATATCGCATGTGATTATATTTATCAATCTCCTGTTAATAATTCAAACTTTTACGTAGTTGTTTGCAAAGTAATGAAGGAATCGTGTGTTCAGTTTGACCTAATCTATATATAAGAAATTGAACAATATGGCTATATGGCTCCAGGAGTGTATTGTTCATGTATTTTTTTGCTAATATTTATTTTGGGAGGAACGAAATCGCTAATTGGTCCTTTTGAAACATAAATTTTTTTTGAGTTTCATTAAAATCAGAATAATATTATAGTTAAGAAATAGAAATAAAACTGATTTGGTAGTAGCAGAATAAATTTTCAAGTCTCTTGAAATTTTATTAATAGCATTATTAATAGCATTCATATTATATACATAGAAGAAGGTTGTTTCTTTCAAGTTTATAAGGTTAGTTACAATAATTAGTTGCTTGAGAAGTCGTAACTAGAAGAGATCGGGGCTAGGCATGCTATATTTTAGAAGTCGAACTTCTTAGTTCCGATCTCCCCTACACGATGGGACATTTAGATTCAGACACCCTGTATGAATTTTGTAAATACTTTAATAAATACATATTTCAGTTATGTTATATAAGTAATAAGTAGTAATTTTTCTCCACGAGTATGGTACGTCATTCTGCAAAAATTCCCTCCACTTAGCAACTTATTTGACTGTTGGCAACTTTAATTAAGCAAGACAAGCTGGTAATTAATTCTCGCATGTGTATTAACGTGATATTACACACGTAACAATGTTGACATCGTTATCGTCTGCAAATTCGCGTCAAGTATTTAGCCGACGGCGAGAAGGTAAAGCATCACATTTTTTTCTGCTGAATCTCGCGACAGATAAAAACTATAAAGAAGCACGATCTCACGATTTCAGCCCGTTCTGCAAAGCCCGACGCAACGAAATGCGTCGCGACCTTTTCGCCACTGACTATACGCCGCGAATCGATTCCGATATCTAGCGCGGGATTCACCGTCTCGTTCTAAACAAGACAGGTTTATTGTCGCCGGCATTTTTTGGCCTTCTTCAGAGAGACGACGACGGCCGCATGAGCGACGTCGTCTCGGGCCAACCCAGTTTCACGAGCGTGTCGATCGTACGCTGCCCTGCCTATAAGGGGTATCCCGTTTCTCCATTATGGGATTGTGCTAATTGGAGAGGGGCTTTTTTCCTCTGAGATAGAGAAATAGAGAGAAGGGAAGAGAGAGAGAGAGAGAGGAGGGGAAGGAGAGAAGAGAGAGAAAGAGAGCGCGTCGATTCATGGCAATTCATTAGCATTCCTCGCACGGATCGTCGACGCCTCGCATTGCTCAGCTGTGCCCCGATCGAGACGTTTCTGCGTCATTTGCGATGCGAATAATTCGCTAAAAACCGTCGCGACTAATTATGTACGTGTATCGACTACACACGTCGCGCCGTGTACATCGTGTATCCCGCTTGCGGGATACGCGATAAAAAGTGTCGAGCAAAAGTGGCGGCGACGTTTTTAATATATACTGAGTAAGGAATGAAGAAGAAATTTGTTGAATCGACAAAATCGGCGATCAGCCTTGTTCAAACAAATGTCGTATCCACTGAACAAATTAGCCGTATCTGTGGACGCAGTTGTTGACTAAATCGCGTTCATTGAGGCGATTAACTCGTTACGGTAATTATACGACTCGTTTAATTCGATTCCATTACCTTCTTCTTTCTTCATTGTACACATTCATTGTTTCAATAGGATTTGAACACTTCTTTTCGGTGCATTTCAGAACGTAACCGATGGTCCAGTAAGAGAGCTTAACTTTTGAAAATTAATAATAGAGACAAATTCTCTCACTGGATCATCGGCTGCGTTCTGAAATGCATCGGGAAGAAGTCTTCAAACTCTATTGCGAAATAAGGTGTACATTCTGTTATCGCGTATTTTCACGAAGGCGGGAAATCGGCGAGTTTTCTCCGTGCTTTACGTCACTGCCATTACAGCGTTTTGTCGAAGATGTTTCTTGCCTTGCCGAGGTGGTCGATTGTAATTAATTGCGAAAGGATAATAAGTACGCGGTAGCTACAACGGATTCATCCTGTTTCGTAACCGCACTCCATCATTTTTCTCTTTCCTCTCTTCTTTTCCTCTTCTTTCTGTTAAACTTCTTTCTCTTTTTCTTTCCTAAAATTTCGCGATCTTATCTATTTCAATTCAATTGACAGTTTAATTGACTGTATATGAATTCTCTTCTGATGATTATCTTAATTTTTCTTGACTCACGTGATTTCCTGATACACGAAGACTCGTGCTCGGCGATTTTTAAATAGTGGAATATATTAAAAGTTTTCTCGGCATGAATTTTTGATTCTGGTTAATATTTTGTGACTGCCATAGTGATTATTAATGATAATGACGCTGTAATATTATATCAATCTAATCAATATTGTTAGATCAAAACTATGGTTTCTAATCAATCTTTTAATAAAGCTTCCAAAGTTTTAAAAAATTTAAGTTTTAAATTTAAATTTTAAATATTAAATAAAGTTTTAAATTTCCCCCGTCACACATTTCTGATAAAATTTCACCAAATTGATATAATTTTTATATGAAAACTTGGCTTTGCAGTAAAATATTCTTTGAAATATCTACTATAAGAAAAATACAGGTTTTACAAAAAATAATTGGAAAGGACGAAATTATTGTTTTATTTTAACCTCATTATGTTTTCTACGCGCGGCAAAATGAAATACTACACAAA